AAAAACCCACTATCTAGGAGTATGCTGTAAATTACTGTAATAAACAACAAGGAGGACAGCCGTGAAAAACTGTATGATTTTAAAAGTTTTAAAGCTGGGGGTTCATAAAGGGGAACTGTCATAAAAACTTAAGAAGTCATGAGCAGTATAGAGACAGAAGAGAAAAAACCATTCAGTGTCTCTTCCAGTACCAGGGATGCAGACATGAAGCAGGGCTCTGCAGGTGAAGCCAGAATGGAGAAAGCTGGCTATTCCCTGCCACAAAGAGGAGGCTGCTGGAGCTCCCTGTTAAAGGAGTCTGCGGGTACGAGTAGTCTCCATGGGCTTAATGGAGGGGTGGTCAGACAAAGTTGTGATCAACACCACCAAATCAAGCTCAGGAAATCCCAAGCTGAAAGTGGTTAAGCAGCTGCTGTTCTCATCCTATTCTTAACTCTTTCTTCAGGAGTTGGCTCTTGTCCATTGCCGCCCACAGCAAAATGGGCAGTCTTAACCACCACAGCTTCTCTTGAGCTTCCATGCAGAAGCTCAAGAGTGTGTTTCACACACACAAGTGGAACCAGCTCCGAGCTCTTCACAGCAAGTGCTTAGCAGCTGATTATATCATGCTGAAACAACACTAAGTTCACCTGCCCCTTTTTTGTTTTGTTGGTATTTTGCTTTGGTGCTTTATGGTGGTGGTGGGTTTTTAGGTTTGTGGTTTTTGTTGGGTTTTTTTAATATATATTTACCATCTCTTCAGTGATAACAAAAGCATTAACTGATACTGCAACTATATTTGTCAAGGAAAAAAAAAAGCATTCTTAAAGACCTGGAAAATAAAATGTCTATGAAGTATGAGGGATTAAGAAACCAATTTGCTTATCACCCTGTTTTGGCAAGACAAAGTCTAAGGATGGAACCACTTTTCTCAAACAATTTCTATCAATTCATCTTATTTCGTCTAAATACTAAAGCTCCAGTAGTATTGTCTTCTCTATGATGTAGCCCTATCTGTAAGATATACGTAAGAAATGATCTTTGAAGTCAGATTTGTTGTTTAAAAGCATTGCTTATTTCCTGATATTGTACTGTTCAAAGTTCTGCTGCTCCCTTTACAGTCGCTTCTAGAAACACACTGATATATTTCATCATTACAAAAGAGTCCATTAATGATGTTTTTTTCTCTCATCTGTCCCAAAGTTCCCTAAGTTTTGTTAAGGACAGATCACTGATTTCAGGTCATGTACACTTGAGATCTGCAAATGCTGGGGAAGAAAACTTACCCCCCAGACATGGCCAGCATTGTGAGAGCAACAACCAAGGAAGACTTTTCCCACAAAACTTTCTATAATTTCCAAAGTTTATGTGTTCATCTCAAGAGGTTTTGTCATGAAAACAACCGAAGGATAAAAAGTTACATGTAGAAACTGCCCACATATGTGACCTTATCCTTTAATAAATCAGGCATACCGAGAGACTTTATTCCCTTTTCTCTCCCATTTAACCTAAGGTAAAAGCAATTCACAGAAGTGGACACATAATATACACAGCTGTTGTGGTTTAACCTCAGCTGGCAACTAAGCCCCACAGAGCCACTCACTCACTTCCTCCATGGAGAGATGGGGGAGAAAATTGGAAGAGTAAAAGTGAGAGAACTCATAGGTCTATATAAAAACAGTTTAACAAGTAAAGCAAAAGCTGCACCTGCAAGCAAAGCAAAACAAGGAATTCATTCACCACTTCCCATGGCAAGCAGGTGCTCAGCCATCTCCAGCAAAGCAGGGCTCCATCATGTGTAATGGTTTCCGAACTTATCCCCTTCCTCCTTCTTCCCCAGTTTATATGCCAAGCATGATGTCATATGGTATGGGACATCCCTTTGGTCAGTTGGGGCCAGCTGTCCCAGCTGTATCCCCTCCCAACTTCTTGTGCACCCCCAGCTTACTCGCTGGTGGGGTGGGGTGAGAAGCAGAAAAGGCCGTGACTCTGGGTAAGCCCTGCTCAGCAATAACAAAAACCCTGTATTATCAATGCTGTTTTCAGCACAAATCCAAAACATAGCCCCATAGTATCTACTGTGAAGAAAATTAACTCTATCCCAGCCAAAACCAGCACAACTTCTCTCAGGGCCATTTTTTATGTAGTAGGCTGATATAGTTCGGCAGCTCTTCCACAGGACCTCAAATAAAAGCTATAGAGGGAGGATCTACACCAGTAAAACTGGCAATTTCCAAGAGACATGAACATTTTTTACTTTTCTGAGAAAGTATGCCTTTTCCTCACTAGGAAGACAGGAAGTTTATGAAAGCAATTAAGCCAGGAACAACCCTGAAATTTAGTCCTGACAGGCATCTGTCACAGTAAAGGGGTGCTATCTAGATGAACCTTTTAGAAATGAGGTACACACAGAATGTGCTATAGCAGCAGAAGTTGTATTTCAGCAGCTCATTCACCATTCCACTTACATTTTTTCCTGGATCTTCTAATTCTGCTGCTCTGAAACATGTTTTTATATCTTTTAGCCTGCAAGGACCTATAATCCCAGGTATCTTCTTGACGTCCATATTTGTATAGAACAAAAATAATTCTTATCAGGGATGGGGAATAAAAGAACTTTTCTGAAGACGATCATAATGGCACAAAGCTTTCCAGCTGATGATTACTGCCTGGATTTCCAGAACATGTTATGATTTTACATGATATATGTCAACCTACAAAAAAGACGCAAAAGACTAAGTGAAAGAGGCCGGACGTCAGGGTTATTACTTATACAAGAATGAAGTCTTCATTTCAGTTAGGATCATGAACAGGAACATACTGTTGTCAGCAACCACCAAGATGACTAACTTTAGCCTTTTGTGCATGTGAACAAACCACATTTTCCGATACTCTAAAAAAAGCATAAGACCCACAGAAAAATTGTATGACAATGCACCACAGGAAAGAAACAGACTGGAGCTCTGCTTGAGACCCATGCAATAGCACTGTACTTGTTTAAACACTCCAAGGGAATCCCAAGAAGCAATTACACCCGAAAGAGCACAGAAAGTATCCTCCCTGCCCCCACAACAACCATCAAATATTAGTACACGAAATGCAAAAGTTAAGGTCTAGTACACTGACATCTGCGTGATTCATCACTGCAAGCCACAGTGCTATTCTGCAGCAGTGTTTTCACCCTGTGTGCCACATGGCAATCCAGGCCTTCCTGCAGTCTACCTCTGATCTAACTCCAGCTGCTGACAGCCAGCCATTACCCTCCAGCCAGTCAGACCGCATCCTCATTCAGACAGTACCCAGATGGGTGTTTGCCTCTACCACATTCTCATCCCCTGCTCCCAGTTCTCCCACAGAGTTTTCTCATGTTTCCCTGTCAAGACAGCAACTGGTTTCCCAAATAAGCTGCTGCTTACATCAGAACTACTCTCCCATCAAGATTTTCTTAACTTTAACTCCGTATGTGTCCACAGTAACAAATTAGTTAACCCATCTCCAAGAACAACATTGGTAACCAATAAGGCTTTGAAGAGTCTGTTGATGCCTGCTTTATCACTTACCAGACCTACCCATACCCATGTACCCTGTCTGCTTCTGGTCAGACAGGCTCTTTCAGGTACAGCTACAGGAACTCTCCTTTCCAGAGAAGGCCCAATTGGGCTGCAACATCAGGGTTTTAGTACCTAGAACGTGCATGTCAGTTTGGATTACAAAGTTACCCTGGCTAGGGAATATCATCTTGAGCTACAAAAATCCACATTAGTCCAATCTGTAATTTTAAGGAACGAGACTGGGATCTGAAAGCACAAGTCCTTTATATTTAAATTCAGCTTAAGGTAGAATTGCCAGGAGACTAACAGCAGTGCATCAAAGTAACAATTTATTGACCCAATTTAACTACATCCTCTGATAACTTGCACCATGCCAAGAAAAAAACCTGTCCATATCTTACTAGAATTCTAGCGTTATACTAACAGAAATAAGCACATACTATCTCAGCTGTATTAAAAAATATGTATTAAATTAATCATAAATATTTACAAGTGACACTTTTTCTTGTAAGACTGTTTTAAACAAGAAAAAAAAATCACAAATAGCAAAGGGAGAATCTAATAGATGAACCGAGAGCCACAATGTTGATCACTGACTGCAAAAGACTCACAAGTTACAGTTTTGCTTTTATTGTTTAGGGAAACCTCAGAAGAATTAAAAATAGTGGTTTGACTCTAGATGGTCATATAAACCTTGTGAAATAATTAATATGCTCCTTCAGTAATAGCATCTGTACCATTTTCAAACTAATCCAGTTAAAAAAAGAAACCATGTTGAGGAAAGTGTGTATAATTTAAAGTTATTTATTTTCTAATTCATCTGTGTTAGCTACAGTATTTCTTGTTTTACTTAGAATTTTTTACCTTAATACTCAAAAGCATAGAAAAAAGAAAATTAATCTTACAATGGCAAAAACTGAAATTCATTTATACAAATAGAATCTTATCAATTCTTAGAAAGTGCCTGTTTATTTTTCTTTGCTCCATGATATAGCCCAAAATTAATTTTCTGTGAAGAAACACAAAAGTTTATTCTAATAAGCTAGAGAACAGATAATTTTGGCCCCATGTCTGTAAAAATAAATAATAAATTGAATGCTGGAAATCACATGCAAGTTCAATGCAAAAAAAACCCACCCCAAACTACAGACCTAAAAAATACCACAACAAATCCATTCTAGAAAACCTGGCCAAGATGTCACCAAAAAATTCATCATTTGCAAAACGATTCATATCTATAAGATATAAAGCTGCTCTGTCAAAGCATAGGAAGTCAGTGCATGACAAAATTAGGGATTCATTCCGGAAAAAGCAGTTACCCAGCAGTAGCAGTGTGACATCTAGCGGCTACCACATCTCTTTGTTCTCCCACTTCAGCCTTCGGAAAAGAATCCGAAACGGGCTCTGCCTATTGCTCACCTTTAGTGCTAAAATAAATGCCCTAGTGCTTATGGTAGTACCTATCTTTAAATGTCTGTATTAAAAATATGCACATGTTATCAAGTATCTTCAAATGCTTTCCTTTCACTATCCGAATTCAAAAAAACCCAACAGAAAAACTATGCTTTTATGATATATAATTGTTGCAAAAAATTGTCTAAACCTTTAATACCAGAGATAAAAAGATCTGTTTTATATATTAATGCTATACTGTTCTAATACAACCTATTAAGTGCCATGTTCTTGAGTCATTTGCTGTAACTGGGATACAATTCTTGCAAAAGCTGTGCCCCAAAACAGGATCATCCTATATAGCATTTACTTACAGATGGCACTCTATTACACAAATATTTAAAAAAAAAAAAAAAAATCACAGACTCAAGCGAAAGAAAATCACCCTAATCTCTCCAAAACCATAAAGACTGAAAGATACTATAGAATTTTAACATTTTTTCACTATTAGACATTGCTAGCCTCACTTTGGAACCAAGACAATTCGTCCAAACTTCTCTAGTTAGTAAGCAACCTGTAATGAGACCAAAGAGCTTTATTAGAGTTACAGCATTACTTTTCTTAGGTTCTATGCACTGCTCCTCTAACAATAAATGACAAATAATACAAAATAGTAATTAAGATTTTGTTGCTCTTTTCTTATACCCTCATCACGTTTGCGTACTGAGGAAGTGACTGTTTTTCTCAAAACATCCTCTTCGGACTGTTACAGCGATCTAATTCAAACCCTTGCTCTCACAACTCTAAGATTTTCACTTATGACATCAAAAATTGCATTTCTGAAAAGGGCAAGGAATCACATACTGCATCGTTTGAGAATTACAATACCTTATTTTACAACTGTAGTGTGCGCAAATAATTTCAATGCAACTTAAGAGTTACAAATATTCTTAAACTGTGTAAGTACAGTAGGTTCTACAGAAAGTAACACAGTTAATCAATATTCTACCATTTGAAACAAAAACAATAAATAAAAGTTTAAGTATTAAAACTAACAAAAAAATATTCCTGTACATTGTACAGTACCTTTTGGTTAAAGCTTCTTAGCAAAAATACAGTTGTGTGTTTTAAGCTTTCCAGTTAGAGATGGTTTAGTATTAAAATTTCAAGGTTTTCCCATAATGAAAAAAATATTGCATTTTTCCATAGGTGCAGCAGAAACTGTCTCTCTCTGAACAAGGCTTCAGTCTTGAAAAATATATAGACAGTAAGTGTGAATTCAAATGAAACGTCATAAAATTATAATACAGTACTGAGGATGTATGGTTGTTGTCCATTACGGATTTTACATTCCTTCTTATTTTGAAAAAGCCAAACTAGAGAGCCCATTGTATATCACTGAGTTCAGCTGGATCCCCAAGTCCACCATCAGCCTCCAAGTAATTCATAAGAGCCGTCATAGCTGTGTCATCATTTTCACATATTGCATCGAAGTCCAGCTGAGAATTACCACCTATAAAATTATTAAAACATTAACATATGCAGTAAAGGATGAAGAATACAGCAACTTTTAAAGCATGCTTGGTTTTTTTAACTGCACCTTCCTTTGAAGTAGAGGCATTTACATGTAAATGTTTTTTTAAAAATAAAATAACAGAAATTACTGTCTGCAGACAATCATAAGGACATACAGAACTTGATTTAAGAAGACTTAAGTCTTGCCACTCCATTAGACTACCTCCAACTGCTAGTTAAAAAAATTGTATCTGTGCAGTAAAGTTCATGTCATTGAAGTAGAAAATGACTTTCTACTTTACATCACTTCAGTGGCAAACACTAAACTGTACCTGAATTCTCACCTGATGTACTCTGCTGGATGAACTGAAACCGTAGGAGTTACTATGCCTTAGTAACTTTAACAACTTGTCTTTAACAACTGTAAGGTAAAATGCGTTAAGTTCAAGTATCAATGAAAAATGTTTCCTTGCCTATCCTGGATAAATGTTGGGTTTTGGTTTGTGGGTTGTTTTTTTTTTTCCAAACCCTTATTTGAGGATTAGATTTTTTTTATTTTGAGGAATTTTTGGGGATTTTTTTTATAAAGGACTCACAGCAAAACTTGAAGAAAGCTAAAGTTTATAAAGAAATAAATAATTCTCTAGTAACTGAAATGAAAGAGGGAGATAAAAGTGTTTCTAAGAATTGAAATAAAGGATAGGCATAACCATTGCTTTTATAGCACTTTGCCCTTTATACTAAAAATAATACAACGGCATTCTCTATATCCATACAAACTGCTATTTTAGTGCATACTTGAAGGACAGGAAAAAAAAAATAAATTTCTTTCTGAAACATTTTCAGTAGCCCTTTGTATTGACTACTCATAGCTTGCAGTTAAGAAAGAGATGAAGTACTGAAAGGACTTCACAAATTACAACCAGTTCTCTTACACTGCACTGAAATAATTCTCCTTATCCATTCTCCAGAAGAGAGAGAACTAGTAAGTACCTAATTAAAACTGTGGTATGCAAGAATGCGATGGTTACTTCTGTTACAGGATGCTATTTTTGTCATGAGATTCAATCACTGATCAAATTTTGCTCTTTGCCTTCCAGTGATAACAAATCTGTTTTAAGAATCCTCTCATCTTCAGAGACACAAAACTCTTCACAATTATACATGATTGTGAAGTGGTGCATTCAAAAATTACAGTATTTATCAGGAATGTCTTTCCCTGCAACTCGCAAGATATCCACAAGAAAAATAAATCTTACCAAGGAGAGGTTCATTACTGGGAAATGGAATAGCACCCTGGTTTTGTTCTGAAGTCTCTACAACTTCTCCTTCCGAAGGACAAAACTGATTCAACTCTTTATTTGGCACCTGAAAGTAGTAGTAAAAGGGGCAGAATAAATCCTATATTTAGTCACAATTATTACATTATAGAAACATTATAAATCACTGTCAAAGTATTAAAAACTAAATGAAAAATATGCATCAACAGGCAGATCTACTGCATTTAAATTTTTTTTTTTTTTAGAAGTTCAGATAGCACTGGACTTGTCTTAAATAAAAGATGTTATTACACATCTGTCAAAGGTACTTCACAGTGATGGGATCTGCTTTATTGAGGGTCTAACTCAGCAAAAAAATCCAGCACAACAAATTGTGCTGGTATATACTTTCCATGTCTAGTACCACAAACTACTAATTCCCAGTGACATCATGTTTGTCAGTGTTGACAGATTCTAGCTAAAAGATAAAAAAGAGACCCTCATACCTCCCATGTTCTACATGCATTAAACTGTATGAATGACAAACTTGCATCTTTTCTATTATTTTGCATCTTGTTACCATCATGATAAAAATCTAAGTAGTTTTAAACTACTTTTTGCACTTCAGAAAAATGAGGCTAGCAACAATAGAGATAGAAGTCATCCGAATCGAAACATATCAGAAATCAAAACCCCTTTTTAAAATTTGTTCCATGAAACATATACATGCAATTTAGCAGGACAGATTTCTTGGACTGTCTGATTTATGCATATCATATTAGGAAACCAATAAAGTTTAAATGCTTTACAAAAGCATTTTAGGAACAAATGGGATACCAAAGCACAGACTAAAGAAAAGCCTTCATGGAATACAATGAAGTTATCCTTATGATGAGATGCTGCATGATTTAAAGAGTTCAGTATATGTAAGTCAATCAACTTTTAGGAAAAAGGACTGTGGTAAAGGCAGTGGAGAAGTGGTCATAAAAAAAGGGAGGAAGCCAAAACAATCCCTAGTCTAGAATAGCATTGTTAGGAAATGAAAACTGCAATGGGAAGATAAACTACCTTTAAATGGACAAAAAATTACATTCAAAGAAGTGCTGATGGAGAAGTAAAAGTTTGTTCATACAGTGCCCAACATACAATATACATTGGTAAAAAAATATGTTAGTTATTCCATAACTATGGTAGTTATAGTTTGTGGTGATACCAGCACTACTGGATTAGCAAAATAGCATATTGTATCATTTTAGAAGATTACTGAAATACCTTCAAAGTAAAAATTTTAAACATTTCCAAACTGAGAACATACAGCATGAGTTTTTGAAAGGGTCTTCAAGAACATTAAGATTAAAAGTACAAGTGAGAAAAACCAAGAACTGGTATTTTATTTAGGTTGTCAAACTGAACAGGTTGAATTCTGACTGTTATGTAGCAAAAGTTTTAATGCAATTCCAAATCCAGAAGAGTCCTCGTCACACAAATCACACTCATATTTACCATATTTGTAGAGCTTCAGCAGAGACCTTAATAACTGAGTGGAGACTGCAGTCCTCTCAGACTCAGGAATAGCCTCTTAAGGCTTGAACTGATGGCCCCGTAAACAAGGTTGGAACTTGCTGCTGTCACATCTCTCAAAAGACTTTCATAGCTGCCAGGTAGTTGGCAATACTTTATACATTCTCTCACAAAAACACAAGTCAAGATAATTTGGTTCAAACATAGGCTTTGAGCTATCTGACATTAATCTTTTACTTTTAGATTTTTACAGGCACTGACATACTCACATTGCTGCAGTTTACAGGTAAAGCTGGAGAAGGTGACTTCCTCAACAGATGCGATGGACTTAACTCCCCAGATGGTGAAGAATGCAACCTAAAATTGTACATGTTTAGTTGATTTACCAAGTCACATTGATCAAACTGGAAAAATAGCCAATGTGTTGCAGAACCCACCAGACCTACTCAATGACAAAGCATGAGCCTGCTAATCTGAGACAACGTTGTCTTAAATTCTCCTGAAGTTTCTACATTCTCTTGCTTCAAATTTTGGTAACATAAAAAGCAGAAGAGATCAATAAAGGCCATGGGTCATAATTACTTGAGCATACTTTTTATTTTTCTGTTGAACCACCAGCACAGACAGATCAAAGAGTATCAGGTTTCAGAATTATGCACACTGGGACAAATAGGTAAATTTCAAACATATACAGAATACAGACAACATAAGGAAGTTCTGCTAAACGGTGGAGAGAAAACAACATAACCTTCTAATGCTCCCTCTATTATTATTTTGTTATACCTGTCTTTCCATATTTTCATAAAATTCAACTAAAAGTAAAGACTGCTTGCTTGTTACTGGAATTCTTTGAGATACTGCTCATCCTCTCTCACCAAACATGCCAGATATGAAACTAACAGTGGGCAGCTTGTTCCCATCTCCCCTTGCTCTTCCTGACTCCCAAAGCACAAGGCTATAGAAGAATTGGGGCACTCTGGATGCTTCTATTTCCATCACATCCTCAGATCCAAAATGTGATAAGGGATTAGAGGAAAGAGAGAAAGTGGGTGAATAAACAGCCTATCTTAAATAAGTCAAGTTATTTGTATGGAATATTTGTTAGTTCCCTACATTCCAATATCCAGTGCTCCAATAGATAAGCAGTACTGCCATATCTAAAAGCTGGGACACAAACTTCAGATCGACCAGATTTATAGCATTGCTGTAACTGAAATGATCATTCATCAGATGCTAATTCAATTCAGATATGCTTGTAAACAGAGCTGGAAGCATAGTCCTGAAATTTTTAAAAAGCTTGGAGATGCCTGATAAACAGCTTGAGAACCATCTGTGTCTTGCTGATATTAAAAAAATGCAGAACAGATTCAGGTAGTAAATGAACTCATCCAATTGGATGATGTGTAGTCACAAAGGTATTTGATGAAAAACAGCTGGTGTTAGCCTCTGTTGATCACTCTTTCATCTAATTTTGATTGGCTCTCAGCAACGATTCTAGAAAAGTGAAATACATCTGGGTGCAAGCAACTACATCCAGACATCTCCAGAAACAGTCAGTTGTTACCGAGTGAACACCTCTTGTTCTTACAGAGATAACATCTAGCTTATTTTCCCAACAAGATACAGGACTGTAGGATGAATACGGTGTCAGAGCTCCCAGTTACACAGTGCAACTACTCCCTTCCATAGCTGGCTTCTTTTCAGAACTGCCCTTCCTTTGGACACTGAGTTTACCTTATATCATATGATTTTGCTCTTAACCTTTTCTGTCACCTGCATAGCAACGTCTTGGGCTATTAGTTTCAGCACAAGTTTATTTCTCAATTCCCAGTGTCCATGGACAACTAAAATCACTAAAACAAACACACCTGCACAAGACAAAAATGGCTCAGATCACTGTGGCTGAGGAAGCTGGCAAGAAAAACATTTTTCCTTTCAAAATACTGTGACACTCAGTCTATTAGATGAGAAATAAGGTGACTGTTCCCAAAGAAAGCAATGTAACATTGTTTCATTTACTAACCAGTGTTCAAGGTGTGAACAAAACCGAGAAAAACACCAAGTTCGATCGGTGACTTGAGGAATAAGACTACCTGATGCAGACTCTGGAGGCTTGTGCTCACCACTGCCCACACTTTCACAAATATTTGTCCTGGAAAGTAGTGCTTTGAATCCAGAATTTGCAGGTTTTTATTTCTCCTGGCAGCCTCGCTTTTTAAATTAGAAGCAAGTTTGAACTGTCACTGTTATCTTCCTGAAAAGATGTTTTGGTAAATAAAACTGGGGTAAACATCCTGCTGCCTTAAACTGCTGCTTCATAAAGGAGAAAAGCCATGCTTATATAATGAAATCAAGACAATGACAAAATGAATCTCTGACAGACAGGGAGGTATGCATCATGAGCTTCAAGATTTTGATAGGCAGACAAAGAACATTATGCCAGTTTTAATACTATGGAAGCTGAACTTATTGATAAGTAAGCTCAATTTCTGTAAGGTCTGTAGGTGACAAGTTTGGTGGATGAAGAGATAGCACTGGATGTTATTTACTTCAACTTTAGTACAGCCTTTCACACTGTATCCCACAACATCCTCACAGACAAGCTGATGTGTCAGACTACAACTGAAACAGCAGAAGCTGACTGTGCTATGGCAAATCCACACATATATAGACTGGAGGGCAACAGGCTGGAGTGCAGCCCTGAAGAAAGAGATCTGGGGGGTTTGGTTGACGGTAAGCTCAATGTGAGTCAATTATGCGCTCTGGTGGCCAAAAGGGACAACAGTATCCCAAGGTATGGTAAGCAGAGTACAGCTAACTGATTGAAAGAAGCGATTGTCCCACTAGACTCAGCATTGGTGCGGCCTCAACTTGAGTACTATGTGCAGTCTGGGGCTCCACAACGTAAGAAAGATATAAGAATGTGTCTAAAGGAGGGCAAGAAAGATGGTGAAAGGACTGGAAGGCATGACTTCCGAGGAACATCTGAGAATACTAGGTTTGTTCAGCTTAGAGGAGAGTGAGGGGTGACCTTATTGCTGTCTACAACTTTCTTATGAAGGAGAGCAGAGAGGGAGGTGTTGATGTCTCCTCTCTGGTGACCAGTGATAAGAAAATGGGAAACAGCTTAAAGCTGTATCAGGGGAAGATCTTAGGAAAAAGATCTTCACTGAGAGGATGGTTAAGCACTGGAACAAGCTCCCCAGGGAAATGGTCATGATCCCCAGCCTGCTGGTGTTCAAGAAGTGTTTGGACAACACTCTTAGAGGTTTGGTTTAACTTTTAGGTTGCCCCATGTAGAGTCAGGAGTTGGACTTAATGATCCTCATGGGTCCCTTTCAACTGAGGATATTCTGCGATATGAAGCTATTCCTTATACCTCTACCATTGTTGCAAAAACCGGTGTACTTCTTCCTGGAAGCTTTAATATTACTACTCTTTCAAGCCCAGTTGCTAAAGTGCCAGTGGAAAGAACCACATGGGATCTTGGAACACATTGCTCTGCAGACAAAAAAATTCTTGGCATTACTTTACCTGGAACTAGAAGTATAAGATCTAAAGTCTGAGGGATGCCTTCATTATCCAAAGTTAACACATAGATAACTTGCTCTGTGCTGATGAGATCTTAGCACCATTATCCTAAATTTGACCTTAATAAAAGCGGTTGCACCTTCTGATGAAGTCTTAAATCCAAAGACAGTTGTGACTGAAAACAGACTTTTTCTGTGCATGTGCATCCCAAAATCCTGGAATTAGCTGGCTCAGAAACTTTTTAAAAAATATTCTTAGACAACAAATACAGTGCAAACTAACACAGAGTAATAACCTTTCCCTCTATAAGCAAGTCAGGCACCACTGTGGATGCACAACACAAAAAATACATACGGATATCTTCACATTAAAATTATGTTTCTTCCTTTGAAATTGTTTGGCTATTCTGTGTACATGCTAAAACTAGTTAGTTTTAAAATGATCAATCTTTAACAATTTGAACCTTGTATGGATTCCTATTTGGAATGATGCAGTGAGGGTTTTTTTTAATCTATGTCTGGGTACTGGTAAGGAATTGTGCTATCACATCAGTCTGCATTCAGGATAATTAGGAAAGGGACAAGACGGGCTATGAAAGCATTCCACTGGGGACTGTTTCAAGGAAAGTTCTCCTAGCAGAATGACACTATAAAAAAAATATAAACACTACTCACAGAAAAGTGATTTTCCATTCCTGAATGGTTTATCTATCCATTTCAACATCATGTGAAGAAGCTGCATCATAGTAATGCTTTTGAAGTCATAGTTAAATAATACTTTCAACAACAAAGGAAATTGTATGCCCAGAACAAAACTATTTATCAACACCTGTCATGTGTTCTGCCACACATGAGACTAACATCAGTTTAAAATTGTTATCTCATAATGCCAGTGCTCAAACTAAAAATATTTTATACATATAACACAATAAAAATGAAATTTGAACAACCTCCACATAATCTCATAGAACTCTTCTCTGTCTTTACTAAAAAGCCTGATGTATTATGTTAAGCATCTATTACCTTTGCAATTCTAGTATTTCATTTGCAATTTCGGTTCCTATACTTCCAGCACCAAGAACTGTTCCAGAGGACATTCCAGGTACACTTACTAAAGACTGTTTTACAGCATCTACAGTTAAAAAAACCAAACAGAACCATAAGTTTGTAGCAGTTTCATAATGCAGCAAGGAACAATTACCTCAAGGATTCATTTTAAAGCAGTTTTTGTTCTGTATCTCTTATTTTCAGAAATTAAATTCCTTAAAACACTAATTCATGTGGGAGAGTGTTGTAAATCTCATTTGAAATATAAAGATAAGCGAATAATATATTTGTGAAAACTGCTAATCTCCAGTAATGAAATTAGCTTTAGTCATTACTACCTCCAGTCTTTCTCATAGACAAAGCAGAACACACAAGAAAAAAAACCCTCTTGGATTTTTCACAAGCTGAAACCAGTTATTAAAAAGAACAATTTCAAAAGCAAAAATAATAAAATCCGTATAAGCAAGATGACAAAACAGCATATAGAAATCAGAATCTATGCATAGGAGAAAAAGATTAACAAAATATGTATCAGCATCACCCTATATTCTACAGGTAAACTCAGATAGCTCAGTTGCATTTCTTCAGAAAACCAGGCAAAATATGAAGACTGCCTGTGACAGAAGCATTTCCTGTAAACAAAAATCCTAGCTGTAGTGGAAGCTGCTAGAATTAAAAGATATATTATACACCCTTCTGATCACAGTTATGTGAATTATATGAATTAAGATGCTGTGGGTAACTAGGAATTGTCAGCAGAATTAGCTTTAAAAAGTTAATCCTTCCTTGCACAACAACCTAGAATAAAAAAAATTACTGGATTAAAAAAAACCATCTAAAATTGTAATGATTAATCAGGAGATGCACCTATGATAACTGCAAGAAGCAACACTTGCCTTCTGCAGGCTGGGAACCATGGGGGACCTGTTCTTCAGCTGACTCGTTATGACCTCTGAGATTTAAATAAACAAACAAACAATCAGCAAGTTTTTCAAAGGCAAAACCCTGCCTATTTATGTTTGATTCAATAAGCTTTACATAGAGCAAAAACTATCCTCAAACTAGTAAAAAAAACCAAACCAAACTCCTTATATGTTTCAATGTTCAATCATTTCTGTTGCTGTTTCTGAAGCACTGGATGAAATATCAATTTCTACTTATTCTCCAAATAAAGAAGAAAGGCCTATGTAGTTGTCTGTGTTCCATGACAAGAGACCAAGGCTACTATTTTTACTCCTAGGAGGGAGACCAGTTAACCAGAAACAACTGCTACAAGGACAGGTCAGTGGCTGCCTTCTGCCAGCAGCTGCTGCCTACTTTCTCTCCTCTAGACAGCTGCAGCTGCCCAGATGTACAGGTTGGGCAAAAGTGGCCTTTGGCTGTTGGGCAGCATTGACTGCCCTAACTGCTCTTCTCTGCCTTCTTGAGAAAAAAGGACATGGGCAAAATAGGTGGGTGATACTTAAGACAAGAACCAACTACAATAATGGGTAAAAGGTCCCCTTAACAGCTTGGTTTAATGGACATAAAGTCCCCTCTGTCCCCCTTTCAAAAACTCTGTCACTGGCAAAGATCCCCAGTGTCATTGGAACAATTCAAATTATAGCTCCATTGCAAGACACAGAATGAAAAAGAAGAATGAAAAATAAAGAACGAAGAATTAAACACATGCATTTACTGTCTCATAGGCTCCTCTCTTGCAATAAATTTGGAGAGTATATTTTTGCGCTGCCTTGCATTTCTACGATCTATCAATTGTGCTTCTCCACATTCTGACACACGGTAGGTAAAGTAGCACTTAAAATTAGGTCAATTGACATGTGCAGTCTTGTAAAGCTCAGAAGAAAAAGTAGAACCAACTTCACTTTTTCATTTATTCATATTCACTTTTCTTAAAAGATCCTTCCTTTAATAAGAAATTCTTTCACCTCATTTTTTTTCTACTGAAAATAGCAGTTTTCTGAGTTAAATCCATGACTTATGTCTGAAATAAAAATAACTGGTAAATGCAAAAAACTGTTCAAGATACCCACCCACTTTTTCTGCATTGTTGATATTTTCTAGTTTTGTTCTGCTTCTTAAACAGTTTGCTCTCTGTTAACGCTAACTATAATTAAGACAAAAATAACACGGGAATTCATATAATGAACTACTTACAATACCACAGTGTTGTTTGATACAATGTACTCCAGTTCTTTGGTCCACGGATTCATGAAGCTAAACCACTGACTCTTTAAAGTAACAAAAGTCCCATCTTTTGCTCTAAACTTGTAGGAATTTGTAAATACCTTTTCTTTATTCTGCAACACTAGATAAGAAAGGAGAGTTGTAATCCTCGTATTTATACACAGAAAGATAAAGTAAAAAAAAAAACAACCAGAAAATAAATCTATTTTATAGCATCATAAAACCACAACGGTTTTGATGGCCAGAAATACAAATTAAATTCCAGAACAACTGATAGGAGAGGACACCTACTGAAAATCAAACTACAGTTTCAGCAATGTTATTAATTGTAAATTAAATCCCAGGTACTGAGTTTCCACAGACCACTAGTAGGGAGACTCCTGACTTAGTGAACTTTCATAATCAGCATCTCTAATTACATGATTAGGCACGTTTGGTCTTCAGGACTCCTTCCTCATTCTTATAAAGAACTGAAGCAGGGGGTTGCAAGAAGCATTAACATTATCCTCTTGCAATTAATGCACTGCACCAACATCCAAGACAACAGAAGTTTCTCCCTGTTTTTACAAGCTTTGTGGGGTTACATCTTAACGCAGATGCAGAAAATGACAACGCTAAGATTGTTTAGTTTTACTAATTCTCAGCTTCTGATTTTTTTGATTTGCACTGTTTTCACACAGCAGTTACATGTAGTTGTACATAGTCTGGGAGGACAAATTCTTTTGTACCTTCTTTATGTTTTTCTGCTAGATGATTGTGATCATCTTGATGGCAGTACTCGTAACAAGACGTTCCTAGAAGCTCTTGAGGCAGATACCCTAAAATTGCTGTTGCACTGTTAGAAATAAAAACATGAACTACAGCGGATTCAAACAATTGCAAAGCTTGTTTTCTTCAGTATCAGATAAAGCATAAAAATAGTATTTAAAGAAACAGATGCTTGTCTTCATGTTTGGGAAAAAGATATAGCATTAGTATAGCTCTAAAACAACAGGAAAAATTATTCACTGAAAATTATTTGCAATGAATGATAATTCAAAGTCAAAATAAGAGTGTTTAAACATGCAAACCACAGGTATGCACAAAACAGTGATGATCATTAGGTCTTCCATTTAGCGAGTCAGGGTACTGGTCACACATCATGAGTAATTCAAATCATTCAGTAGTTGAATTTTGCTCTGCCACTTTAAGAAACAGGTGTAAACTAATGCTTTTAGATGAAGTATAAGACGACAAGATGACTGAAAGCAATAAAAAGCTTCCAGTGACAATAATGAAATTCAAAATGCAAAGTAGTAAGTCAGTCTATACAACAAATAAATGCCTGTATTAGAAAGTTCAGAAAATAGGAATTTAGCTTTCACTTCTAATGAAATAATTTGGAACATAATTTAGATATCATGTACTTGTTCCAAATAGCAAGATTTTAAGAAGTGATAAATTTTGATTGGTATGTATAGTTGTAAAGCTCTAACTTAAGATTTTTCTTTATGAATAAATAAGTGCATGAGTGCATTTTATGACACGTTTTAATCTTGCTAGCTCACCTTTTCCTATAGGACAATACACTTACTTTTATATATTACATTTTGTTTGACAAAAACACAAATCCCAAGTACTGAGATTCAGAATGAACTGCTTTCTGTGTGCAGTTTATCTTGCTTGAGAAATTACAGTTCTAACAGAAGTATTAGAAAATTTAACTGAAGCGTCATTTTCATTTTCTCTTCATTAAACAACAAAATGCTTACCGCTGATCTACATAAACAAATTTTCCATCCATGGCAAATCGTGTAACAAATTCTGTTGCTTTGACTTTTATCTCTCCACTCTTTTGTGGAACAATATAAGGGTGTAACCTCCCAATTGCAACAAGACAGTTAAAGTTACTACTGTCCTTTTCTACATCATTTTCCTCTTCTACTCCCACCTCATTAGGAGGCCAGTTCTTCAAATACCCAGTACAGTGAATGGTACAGTATTTTCTGTGATCTAATAAAAAGAAATGAAATAAGAAGCAGTTATGGTTCAAAAAGTAAACTGAATGACTTTTGTTTTAAATTCCACTCATGAGACCTGCTACTATATTTTATGCCTACCTACAACAATTGTACAAGGCTATAGATAATTTTATAGAGTATTTTTAAATTAATTTTGTACTACTTCATTTGGGCTTACCTGAGGAGGGAGCTTCTAACCCTTTGTAAGGTTTAGGTTACAGGTGTTATAGGTGTTGGCAGTTCAAACACAGTCTCACATTAAAAAAAAATTAAACCTACAGTCTGGTAACCCACAGATCACTTTTTCTTTATATGGTTTCATAGGTATTGTAAATTAAAATAAACTGGAGAGGCACTCTGTAGATTCCAAATCAATTTACCTTTTGTGAAGATGTGATCTTAACGTGTGCTTGCTGCAATTGCTAAAAGAATCAGTTGGAAGAACAACCCAAACAACCCAGCTTATTTCTATTTATCTTAGACTTCTGAATTCCTCAATTTCTGGGAACACAAACATTTTAGAAGTCTTAAATTACAGCATACACTCTTTGCTGCCCACATAACATGCAAGCACCCTCCTAAGCATCAAGGTGTAGAGATGACATGATGTGTTCTACAGTATATACCTTTCAAAAAATTGCCATAGTGTTCTTGATAGCTGCATACTGAACCATTAACCCACTAACCCTATCAACTATGGAAAACATTTATCAACTCTGTAAAATGAAACACTGAGTTCTCCTACTGTGACTTTGTCACAGTTTCTCAGATTGAGAAGGTGCCTTCCGTCAATACTACTTTCCTGAGAAACATTTATATAAGTTAAATTCTTATCTCACCAGGTTAGTTGGCATATCAAGGGAGACTGAATTCTATTTACTTACAATGGCAGACCTATTTTAAAAATTACTATTGTATGGTATAGCTCAACAGTAACAGGCTACGCTGAAAAACAAAAGTAGGAGGACTTTTTCAGGGTCAAACAATTTCAGCACATCTTTGCAAAAATGAATACTGAGGTATTAAACAAAAGCTGGAAATTACATTTTAAAAAGGTCCATTCAGTGATAACTTGGCAAAAGTATACTGCTGTACAGGCATACCAAAATATGAACTAAATTAAAATTACTGGAAAAATGAAGGAATTACACTGATAAATTAACTTCACTATTAAAAGAAAAAAAAGATAAAAAGGAAAATTCATACTTTTAAAGTACACACAACACAAAAAGTAAATCAGAAAAAAAAAGTTGGTTTACTTGCTTTTCCTTCAAAACAGCAGATTTTGCAGGACTTACAGTTATATTCAAGATATACGTTATTTAGTTTCCTCCTTCTGATCTGCTCCACTGCTTTCAAAAATTTCCCTGAGACTTCTAAAATTTGACTACAAGAGACCATACGATCTTGAATGGCCACTGTAACTCAGGCTCCTCCCTCCTCTTTTCCAAGAGTGAATAGGGACAGAGAAAGAGTACAATTAGACTGTTTTTCAAAACATATCCAGTACATATTTACCCTTCTCTACAGCTGCTTTGTGAAGTCATAGGAATAACTACAAGGGTTCACTACTGACTCGGAACTTGAATACACCAAGTTTCAAGACAGAAAGCCCCCGCTTCATCTATGCTGATCGAATACCTTTCTTCTTTGGGTTGGGCAAGCACTCCTTTTCTTCTTTCACTGTGGTCCTACTACATTTTATCCGACAGAAGAAGGAACGTCGAGCACCAGAATTCAGTCGAGCTGGTCCAGCTTGAAAATCTGTGTGTACTTGCAAGCCAGCTTACAAAAATTTAGTAAAGTAGTTAAAAAAAACCAAAATCAAACAATCAAACCTTAGAATACAAGGCCTTTTCTTCAGTTTAGCTTCCAGTACATTCTCCTTACTGTTTAGCTGCCTAAATTTTGTCCTTACAGCTACAAATGAAAAATGTCTAATAAATAGGGCAAAGGAAATGTGACTGTCATACAGATTCCAAAATTAAAAAGAACTACCAAAGTATTTTTAAACCCTTCTTGGTATTTTGAATGGTTATTTTAATAAAAATGCTTTATAAACTTTCAACTTCTATTTGGTACAAGGAAGAACAGCAAAGATGCTTATAAAAGTCAGCTATAAAAATAGTCATTAGCTGCACAGTACATAATGCTTTCCATATTAGAAATAACTGTAAACAAAATAAAGTTTGGTTAAATTAGGATTGACACTTAGCATTTTCAGAGAAGACAGTGATTCTTGATATTGAAGTATTTTATCCCATGTTCGACTACATCAGGTCTTTTGTATTGACAAGACCTAGCAAATACAAGAAAAAAAAGTAGTATGCCTGGTAGGAAGAATGTCAGACCACAGCTTGGTAAATGTTTAACAATTCAAATGTCAGTAATTCTTATTATATAAAACAAATTCTTTTCTGGGCTAGCTTTTAAACTGTAGGTACAGCCTAAGCAGCAGATAAGCAAATATGTTCGGTTCATAGAAATTATACCTCAAGTTTGTACATGCATGCACATAAAAACACATGAATGTGTCCTGCCCAGTAACTAAATCTATTTAACAGCTCTTAAAAAAAAAAAAAAGGTGAGCACATTTAAATATGACTTACTTTTCCCATCTATGAGCTTATCCCTAGGAGAGACATCTGAAGAAGAAAGTTGTTCCTTAACTTTTGCAACATCTTTCGGATGCAAGTAATCAAACAAACTTTGTCCAATTAAACTGGCCTATTTTTAAAACAAACAAACAAACAGAAAACACACCAAAAACCAAAAGAAGTAAGAACCACGCTGTTTTAGAACGGGACCCCATACATATTACTTATCTCAGAAGCACAACTTTCTACACCATTAAAAAAAATTAAATACCACAGTTATTCTAAACATCAGTATTCTGATCCACATTTAATTTGCCCTTATTTAATAATATTTTCATAAAACCAGGGTAGTAAAAACACAATTTGTTACTTCCATTTTGAAAAATAGCAGGATTAGTTGGATATTAAGATACAGTCCTGTAAAACCAAATGTTTTATTTTTCTGTGTAATATGATTCTTGATCCTAGCCAAAGAAGGTTACGCCCAAAATATCTTCGCTCACAATTACTGGGGAAGGTAAGGAAATAGTAAGAAACATTCATGCTACCTAATGCCTCTGAGCTCTAAATTGGTCGGACAAAATGGCATCACTGAGCCAGGAGCTGCCTGGAAGCAGGGGTCAGCTCAATTCAGCACTCCTTAGTAGGGGAATCTCTTAGTACAGGAATCTCTCTAGCTAGGATCCATTCAAGCTGCTCACTCTGCTGATCGAAAGTAACTGGTTCGCTGCACTACTGTAGGCAGCACTACCTTTTTTTTTCGCGAAACAGGAAGGAATTCTCACAAAAGTGGGCTAGTCTGGGTTTTTTTGATTGCTTACCTTCACTACAGCAGGTCAAATCAATGGGTAGAAAGGAGCTCTGTTGACAAGCAGTATTCTAGATTCAATTTGCAAGTCATTTTGGACCCATGCCACTTGCTATGCGATCACTGCATACGTAAAGGGGCGCACTTTTCCAATAAGCCAGAGTCAGAAATGGGTTTAAGGAAAAGGTTCTAAGAAAGCAAGATAAACACATAGCCTCTTTCATTTGTCCAGACCCCATCTAACCCTAATGCAATGGGAAAATGCCAAGTGCACTGAGAATAGCTAATAGCAGTCTAGTCAAAATAGGTAGGTGTATCAGAGTAGCCCGCAGGATGGGGTTCATAACACAGAATGATTCCCGAATAAGCAAATAAATTAATGAGTTAAGTCACTCAAGTTCTCTGAACCTCTTTGGCTGGAATAGTGAAGATCTTATGGGTCTGGAAGCAGGTATGTCTGACGTGAGAGACTCCAAAAGGTACTTTTTAGCCTTTGGCTAAATTCAGTGTACAAGTTAAAAAGAAAAAAATAAAATGTGCTTTATGCTTGTTCCTGTAAGAAGATTAATCTAACTTTAATTTAAGAAGATAGAGTTTTAGTTGGGAAAAAAAAATAAATCTATAAACCAGAGTCCAGATTGGTTACCCTTCCATTTTGAAGAAAAAGAACACAGCACAAATGGTTTCAAAGTTATAGAGTAGACAGATGGAAGCTCTAACTGTTTTAGCCTCTGTTTTTGGTACAGAAGTCATAGATACATGAACAAGTTATCATGCCTTGATTATTTGTGGTAATTGTACATGACGTTAAATGTCAACTAATGGAATGTACTTATATTTTTCTTATTTCTCTTACTCTACAGGCTAAGCTAAACTCGCACTATATCAGTTTCCTTCAAGTTAAGAGTATATACGTGGATAATTACTGTGGATGAGGCGTTATGTAGTGTATCTTGGCATAAAGACATTACCAAGGAAAGCTTTAATTAACTTCCACTGCTGAACAACAATTTTCCTTGACCTAAAAAAAAAAACCTAACCCCAAAAATCACTTCGCCATATAAAAATAAGTCTCTTAGAGATAGAAATTAGGACATCTTCAAATTATCCCTTCCTCTCAGACTACCAGTTTTCTTACTTAAGGATGATCAGTTGAAACCTGGTGCTATTACTCAGGTCAGGAACACTGACTGTACTTGGAAATATTTTGTTTCAGGATATTCAGCCTTACTCTGAAGGAGGTTAAATCAAATAAATACCAAGAAATTATACACAAGGACTGTTTTTTAGTAATATACAATAAAGTTTCAAAATTCCTAAGAAAATGCCAGGTAAAAGCAAACCAAGAAACTCAGTTATAACCACCTGATCATAATTAAGTATTTTGCAAACTGATTCTGAGACAAACAGAATTTTTCCTCTGTTGCATCCAACCACAAATAGGAATCCATCTGCAGCCTGAAAATATAAAGATACTGTCTTTTAAAAACATACAATTAAAATATCGATGACTGATGATGATGAATATTGATGACTACAAGGAAGCACATTTTTAAACTTGATTTTTTAAATTAAGTTATAAATCACACCGAAAAGCAATTAAGATTGCAAGGACCAAATCAGACCTTCAACTACAGACAACTAAAGTTTCTTAAACATAGCTTTGGGAAAAGAGGCAGCCAGCTGCAAAACAGCTTAACTTGGGAGTCATCTTACAGATCTTGGCGAAGTCTGTTATTGCAGCAAAGGAAAAAGAAAATAGATGCAAATAAGAAAGGCTTTCTTTCAGGTATTATTTCTGCACCTTTTTCAATGTACATCTTTAAAAATGTAAACAATTGCAAGTATAATTGAGTGGAATTAAAAAGCATTCCCTATACTTGCATGCAGACTCCAATATAAACATTTTAAAAAGTAATGTATTAAATACAGACTACATATAGATTTATTATCCCTTCAAGGGCTGTTGTCTGCCATGCTCACAGATCATCATCTGTAACCCAGTACGGTGTTTATAAACCAGTACTTATCAAGTACATAAAAGCACTTGCTTGAAGGAAAAGATGGGGAAAAAACCACTCCAACTAAAACCACAAGTTAATGGCAAACTTTAATAAGAACATTGTTTAACTGGGACTTTCTTTCCACTTACCCTAAGAATTAACTGTCGAAGCTCATCATCCTTTAAAAATGAAGGCTTATACCGCACTTCTGTGTAAGAGCTAGTGGAACCTGGAAAACAGAATATTTGTATACTCTAAATAATGCCAAAAGTTGCATTTTAAACTTACTTATACTTTGGTATTTTATAAGTTTTCTTTGCAACCACAACAGCTGAATAAAGACATAAATATTAAAATTCTAAAAATATTAAAAATTAAAAAAATCCCAACTCATAAACATATGCTGGCAATAGATATGGGCACACAACCAGTTTTGTCTTGTCTTTTATTTAGCACAAAACAAGGAAACTTCTGTTTAGATATCTTTAATGTACTGCTAGAGAAATGGTTTTATGAGAACTTGATTTTCTAGAGACATTTTGTAGGCCTATTTCAGAATCCTTAACATTTGCTGAATCTGAATAATTGTAATGTTATCAGTTGTCATGAATAATGCCTCATTAATACTACATATCCAACAATCCAAAAAACACTCTACTGTAGTTAAACTGAATGTCTCCCTACATTAACTATCCTAGCACCCATGGCATGTGGGTAAAAATAATTTTTAGCCAATACAATCACTTCCACAATTTTTTCAGGATTTTTTTTTTTAGGTAAATAGCAGTTAACTTTCTAGCAACTTTCAGCATTCACTGTAGTACCACATAGTACCTTGCATTTTCTTGTATTTTTTTGAAGATACATGTAATAACTGTGCTGGACGCAGTCCAGTTTTCATAACCTATTGTCAAAATACCAATGAGGATTTTGAAGAAAGCTGAAGATTTCTTGTAGATGCTTGTTTAGACTGCAAGTGGAATTATTGCCCTGCTAATTTGTCACATTATTTCTTTACACAAAATTCTCAGCCTGCTTGGGCCAGCAGGCCTATAGAAATCCTTTCCAACCCACATTATTCTACTACTGTCAAGTGAGTAGCATTCATTTCCTACACTCCTTTAAGACTAATGCGGTTCTTATTAGAAAAGTTTATTCATAATCTATTTTTTGCAATGCAGATAGCGTGTGATCCTTCCTTACAGTTGACCAAGTTATTATTCTGTAAGAGTGCTGCCAAAAACCCCTGAAATTTTGTATGCTGCTGACAGATGACGCAATATGCAACTTGTATTTGGATATAATTTTTTTTAGGGGATGAAAAAAATCCTAAAATTCAGCAATAGCAAAAGCAGAAGAAAGAATATATTCTGGTTTGATACCGACACTAAACCATTCACTAAGATCCATGATTAACTTTGCTAGCTGACTGACGATACAAACTTTTGGTAACTCTTTTTTCTTGATACTCTAATATTTCGTGGTGTTTAAGACTTTAATGTAGTGAAAATCATCAACCATTTTGTTCATGTATGTTTTGTCTTGAAACATTCCTTTTGACTACAGTTTTTGCAGACAAAGAAAATAAGTTTGAAAGATGATTACGTCCAACCAATTTTTTTCTTTACTTCTGTGCAATTGGCTTTGGTTTTATATAAAAGACTTAACCTATTACTGAAGTGAGTTCTCTGTGCTCCCTACAAGTGCAACTACTTATATCAGTTTCTTTAGCTCAGCATTTTTTTAACGGTCTTTCTCCATGATGTTGTAAATTTCAGTCAACAGATAAACATGAAGTTCCTGTACAGAGACAAAGGGTTGATGCAATCACAAACTTGGGACTAACAAACAGGAATATGAAGACCATTTGCTTCTCTATTAGCAGTATAGCTGCTGGCATCAGTACAGCACCACAGATATTACTGTTACAGAAAGTATGATGGAAAGTGGAGAGATCACAGAACACATGTTTAATTTGAGGGCTGGGAAATAATGAAAGACAGACTTGCTTGATGGTTGTAATTTCTAAAAAGAATCAAGGAGGGACTCAATTGCAAGGCATACCCTTAGCATACAAAATATCGAACGCTCAAGGGTGGCTTTTTTCTGCTATATTAAGCAAAAAGAACAAATGAAGTTCTGGAAGCTAAAACCAAATTTAAATGAAGAACAGACTCAGAATTGAATTAAGCAAGGAAACGTAAAATAAATGACCTCTGATTTATGTAACATCAAAAAAGATACACAGTATTACTCCCAATAAAACAAGGACTTGCAGGATTAGTTACCTAAAACCCACCTTTTAAGGATTTTAAGTGTTGCACAGCCATCCGTAACACTGTGAGCTTGTCTAGTTTTCGTGCCATGGGATTGCACTGAGGTATCATAGCAGACAATTCCTCTATCAAATTATTCATTTTGTCTCTTCTTCGTTTCTCTGTTTGACTGTGAGCCTCTCTAAGAAGAAAAATTATTTTAAGAAAGATGTAGAACATATGATTTTCCCCATAGTATTCATCAATTCAGTTTTGGAAATGGCACGTATCACAAGAAGTACTACTGCACCGAAACAGTTTTTAATACACTACTTGTATTTGACAATTGAATTGGATTCACTTGAACAAAGCAGAAATGGTCACAGTAACGATGCAAAACATTGAGGAGAAAAATATCTTAAGCAACAACTTGATTGTGTGTGGCAGGAACAAGAGGCTATGAAAACTTATAAAAGTTAAATTCTTCCTGTGATCCTTAGCATCCAAGTGAATAATTTAACACCTTACTGTACACCAGAGAACTTCTGATGTTACTAGTAATGACCAGAAGATATTTCTGCTCCCTGGCCCTATCTCTACATAGCCTGTGTAACTAAGATGGGATATTCATTCTGACACTTTAGGAAAAAAACAAACAAAACAAAACAAAACAAATGCTTTAAGCACTTGCTGAAGCACCTCTGAAGTCTGTTTTATGCAAATTCACACCAATTTGAGATGAGCTGTGTCTTCTTGTTATCTCACTACCTTAAAAATTACTCAGATTGAAGACAGACACAAACACAAGCATTTACTCATAGCACAGCACAAGCAAAAAAAAGACAACATATCTGTGTGCAGTGGAAACTGAAAGGAAAAGCACATCTAATTTCACCAGGGGTATTTCAGAAAGCTTTCCCCTTCGTTCAACTGGTAAGGTTGCAGAAAGGGTTTCAGCCTCTGTGCACACCTTGTGTCTCAGGTTTCATCTCTTGGTGAGTGTCTGTTCAAGAACTCAACCACAGAGAGAAAGCTTCTCTTCTTGGAGAGTTTTAATCAGCAAACCCCTTCTAAGGCATGTGACAGTGCACATCATAAATATGTTTATATCTCAGGCCACTTTTTCTTTAATTTTTTTCTAGTGGAGTATGTTAGCTTTTCTAGTTGATCTCTTCCCCTCTAAGATCCTCTAGCAGATCAAGAAAATATTAATTCATTCTATTCCTTCCTTACCCAGAAGATAACCTAGCCACTCAATTAAAATTATCATTTTCCTTTCTGATTGAGACCAGACACGGTGGTAAGTTAACCAAACTGAGAAAACAACATTGTTATGGTTAACTGATCTCCAAAGCTCTTCCTCTTAGGCATACTGTAACAGGAAGCATTAAAGGTAACAAAGTTAACTACATCTGGCCTGTTGAGAAAGAACAAACTGCAGTTTTAAAAGACCCACCCTTCTATTATTTTTATTATTTTTTCTCAAAAATAAATCCTTCCTCCACACAAATAATTCTGGGTCATTTATCCAACCAATTAGCATTTCCCTCTCCAGTTCTAAAAAAGCCTTTTTTAGAATTTCATTTATCAGTTACTCTCAACTCTACAGGATCACCTAACTTTTCCTTCGTGTCAGCTAGAACAATATACACAATATATCATGTATGGTCCTTCAACTGCAAACATCAGGAAGACAGATACAAACATTTGGGGAAATAGACCAATCTTCCACATCTCTCAGAGTCAATAAGAAGTTATAGAAACCTGAACAGGTGGATGCAGAAATTCTGGTGATGCCTGGATGACTCAAAAAGCCTGCTGGCCTGCTGTTATATTCCCCAGTTACAAAGGGGAAGGGAGAAAAGCAATTTCTCCAATAAGCTTGCAAAAAGAAACACTGGAGGGAGATAACTGTTAAGCAAACCTTCGAAGTGTCTTCTAATTTTTTTTTCTCCAACTAATGAGCCAAAAGGAAAACCAAAGGAAAAAAAATTAACACTACAACATGAAAGTTATTAAAGCAATGCACAAAACAATCTTGTATAGCGATCTGGGATACTCAGTAAAGAAAGATTAATTTTGGAGTTACACAAAAAACCCTGTAAATATTTCTGGAACACTTTCATTTCTTCCATTTAATTTAAATTACAAGAACACTTCATAATTATTAGTTAGCATACTGTATAAATAATGCTTTCGACAGCAGAGTGGATTGTGTATTTTTGCTTTGACCTCTCTGCTCACACGACAAATGAAAGACACTTATTTTTAAAGCCATTTTATAAGTTTTATTAAGTGGCTTGTCTATAGTTTAAGGTATTTGTTTGGATGAATCATGACTGCATTCAGTCACACAACATCTCAAATCTTACAAGTGCTTTATGTAAATTTCCATTTGGATTCAGGTAAGATGTGAATTCAAAGTGCAATGGCAAACCTTGAATAATTCCTGATACAAAACCTCTTTCCAGAACAAAAGTTCTTTACTTTATTTTCTTTACTCTTGGCTTTAGCTGAATCCATTTTCATGTGTGATAAATTTTAAATACCTTCAAGTGTAGAAAAAAATCTAGAAATAATAATTCTCAAATTCATATAGACAGAGGATCAACTCCTCCCTTTATACATGACTTGAGTGTACTGCATTTAATTCTCACCTTGAAAAATTTTAACCTCGGGTTTTTGCTAAACCATCTGAGATATTCTGCAACAGAACTTCCATTAAAAGTAGCAGAAAATAAAACCCTCAAGCAGGCTCTAAAAGTTACGACACATTTAGTGGCAGAAAGGAAAAGTTTACTGTTAAACATTTGACAGCTGTAACAAACATTACCCCCGAACTCGTATTTTACTATTGTGAATCCTAGTATTTACTGGAAAAGTGTACTCTTATTGTAAATCAGTACCTGAAATCTTTTATTTTAACATGTTCTTCATCTTCAGTCCTACAGAAAACAAGATACAGTTTTACTTTGCATATTTAATACTAGGTACTTCTTCATCACCACCTATTAAGAACTTCAGAAAGAGGCCTAATAGGTAACATGCCAATTCAGCATGAGTGATTTGGTACTTGCAGAGGCAGTCCCCATACAAATACTGGCCATTTTCTTTAAAATAAAACCTGGCACAAATATTTTTAATCTTTCTACAGCAGTTCTTAGACTTTTTTAACTCCACAGTGGAAACATCACAGGCAATACTCTAATCTCCATTCCGGAGAAACCTGCTAGCCTATGGCCATTTTAGAGCAGGTGTGTGTTCTACCAGAAGGACTATAAGGAGAAAGGCCAATAAGTTAGCAGCAGTTTTCTATGAGGAAATGGAAATAGCAAAAAAAAGGACAGTTGGAGATTACAGCTTTAGGAAAGACCCCAGAAGTCCACCTGTAACTAAGCACTAACCCCAGCAAGGATCCAGCATCCAGAGCCAAATTAACACACAACTCAGAGATCCAGCTCTTAAACCTGGGATTTCACTGGAATCCAGGAATCTACTAGACAGTCTGATAAACCCAAACACAGGAGTAGGTTGGGATCACAAGACCCTAGGACTTTTCTTCGGCAAAACTGTTTCAAATTTAGACGAGTTAGCAATATCTAATATTTTTATTTCATTTTAAAAGAAACTTTTACCAGAAGTGTGTATATACTATGAATTCCAACAGAAGGTACATTGACCGTAAGAGAAGAAAAGGTAAGGGGGAGCCAGAGGAACCGCAATGCAGCATGTGGCCTATTAACTTACTCTCCTTTTCCCTCAGGAGCTCCACCTGGGGAAGAAACTAGAACAAATCTGCTGTTCAAGCAATCAGTCACAGCCTTCAATATAATATATAGCCTCTGTCCTGATGGCAGTACTGTTTCTGATATAAATAGCTAAATTAAAACTACCTTGACTAAGTGAACATAGGGTGAAATTGTACTTCATAGCTATAATGTAGGTACAACTAATTGGTGCTAGAAAGAACAGAATCTGTATTAATCAGGAAAAAATAAAGAATACCACCTTTTCCTCTATTTTCTCAATTTATTTATTAAATATACTTTCCCATTTCTCCTAAAATGGAAGCCTAGGTTTTAAAGACAGAAGAGGAGTATTTTTAATCACACCTTTTTATCACGAGCCCCATGGAAAAAATCCACAAAGAAACAAACAATTTAACCTCAAAGAAGGATTTTTATACTATTCAATAAGCCATGTACCAAACACTGACTCTGCTGCAGAAAGGGACCTGGGAGGCCAACAGGAGGCTCAATGAGTCAGCAGTGAGGAGCTGGGAGGGCAAGATGACAAACTACATCCTGGGGTGCATCAACCACAGCATAACCAGTTGGTCAAAAGAGGTGATTATCCCACTGTATTCAGCGATGGTGTGGCCTCACCTGAAATACTGCGTGCAGTTCTGGGACCCACAACTTTACAAGGATGTTAAGATCCTTGAATGCATCCGGAGGAGGGCAACAAAGCTGGTGAAAGGGCTGGAAGGAATGAGGAGCAGCTGAGGACTCTGGGTTTGTCTAGTTAGGAGAAAAGGAGGCTGAGGGGCAACTTCATTGCTCTCTACAGCTTCCTGAGGAGGGGAAGTGGAGAGGGAGGTGCTGATCTCTTCTCCGAGGTATCTAGTGATAGGATGCGTGGGAATGGTTCAAAGCTGTGCCAGGGGAGGTTCAGACTTGACATAAAGGAGCACGTCTTTACCAAGAGGGTGGTAAAACAGTAGAAAAAGTCTTCCTAAACAGGTAGTCAATGCCCCAAGCCTGTCAGTGTTTAAGACGCATTTGGACAATGCCCTTAACAACATGCTTTAACCTTTGGTCAGCCCTGAATTGGTCAGGCAGTTGGACAGATGATCACTGTAGGTCTCTTCCAAATGAAACAGTCTATTTTCTAAAAAAAAATAAAACTAAAAAATACTGCACAGCTGCATAAAACCAAATATTTTCTAAGTAAGGTATCCAGGTGAGAAAAAGAAATCACAACCAAGTAATCATGTAATTAATAACTATCCCATAACAGACATACATAAAGAGTTTTCTTTTGCTGCACAGACAATCTTAACTCTGGTTTGTCACCTTGCAATAGCATTATTTTAACACAGTTGTGGTAGTTCTATTTTCAAAAGCACTTGACAAGATTAACACAAAGTGTTTACATGCATCAGTTCTAGAAGAGTATGAGACCTTTCCTTTACCTCCCCAGACGTCTTATTTAACTGATACTTCTTATTTGTTCCCATTTTCACCTTAACTTCAATACTAACAAGCCTGGTAAACATATAATCAAGTCAGAGTGTCTTCTTATAAAGAAACATCAGAAATCCTTACCACTGGATGGACCTGTCCATCTTGTTAATTAGCTATATGTTTAACACTTTCTGCTGTACAAAGACCTGTTCTTAGACAAAGCACTCCTTAAGGAAAACCACACAGCTCATCTAGTCAATCAGGAAAATGTGACATGTGTATAGCACTGAAAACAGAGGTGGATTCATTTATGAAATGTACCTTTTCTGAGGATCACCATCAACTTCAGCTGTATCCCTGCAGAAACAGGTAATAAAGTAAGCAAAATGTAGTTTGAAGCACAAGAAGATTACTTGATATAGCCAATGAAAAAAAGGTCACAGAAAAATGTTAAAGGAAATCCCACTTGAGCAGTTATTTTCAGCAAGAACATCAGTTTTTAGAAAGTAGTTAATAGTTCTTGTAAAACAATACTTTTTCAATTAGTATTTCAACTTGGGCATGATTTTTTTTTTTAATGACAGAAGTTTCGTGAAACCAGAGATCGATCCAAACTTCAGGGAAACACTGTTGAGGAACCAGCACTTTTACTGAACAGGTAAAAATCAGTAAGAGCTACTGAAAAAGAATGGAGACTGTTTTTTCAGAAACTAATTGATTTCCGGAGTTTTCAGTGATCTACAAGATACTCTTGAATCTCCAAGTTGAGAATTATATCAACATCCACAGTTTGGCTACCTTCTGCAGATCAACGGACTATATATGGAAGAAGCAGGGATTAAAGAGAATTGCTTTAATAACCACAAATACATGTAGATCTTCTACTTCCCCTGCTTTTTTAAAGGTGGATTTTCCACACTAGTTTGAAGATACTTTAATGTACTAGAACTGCAGTTTAATGTACTAGAACACTGATTTGTGTCCCTTACATTAGGCTGAATAATATAGTCTTGAATAAAACACTTTAAAAAACATATTTTTCTATGTAAATGATTATTTGGTTAACTGGCATCTGTTTGGCAGTGATAAAACGGGATAAAACAGTTGCCAGTATCATCTCAGTAGTCAAGTATGACCCACTTAAAAGACAGAGTACTACTGTAGGACAGTCCTCATTTTTAGGTCACAGTTCTCTCTGGACATTTAAGTAAATGGCTGCCCTGGTCACTGAAGAAGCCGTTCTGATTCTGCAGTTCTAGATCAAAGAGCTAAACTATGGATCTTGTTCCATGCTTTAAGGTGATATTCTAATGTGCACTTTAAAGACTTCAAGTAACTTAATAATAATTTGCTGAAAAGAGAACTTGCCTTTACTAGCAGCCAAAGAACGGGGGAAAAGAGGGAGGAAAAAAAAAGCTAGGATTGAAATTTCATCATTAGAGACACATTACACTGACACTTCAGGGCAGGAAATGGTATTATAGAATCCTACATATATCCCCTAGATTTAAGGATTTTTTTTTTCAATTTTTAATAACTCAGGACTGTTAGTGTATGCACTTGGAAGAAACTGTAATAACTAATGGTAATAAATAGAAGAAAGAGGATTGGCCAGTTACCATGTTGTATAAGTAACAGATAAATAATAAATTTATGTTGAGACATACAGAATCAATTTACTTACTGGTTATCAGAATCACTTCCTTTGCGCTTCCTTGGAATCTCAGCCACAGAGGCATTGAAAGAAGTTGTGGTAGCAGGCTTAGGAATTGGATTCATGAGGCTGGGGACTCCAGAAGCAATGCACACATTTCCATCTATCGAGAAATTATCTGTGAATGAGGAAAAAAGCTCAGTCTCCACTAAGAGCCGTATCACTGTGTATTCCCTCTGATTTTCATTTGGAAGAAAAAAAAAATTGTCCGTGGGTGGCTTCTATGCCTGTCACAAAAAACATTAAGGTTGCACTGCTGTAACCTAACTACAGAAAAGAGTACACTGTCTTCCCACAGTCCTATAACGTTCTCATTGACCCAGTCAACACACCAATGTGATATAAATTACACCCATTCTCTTCCTCACACAAACATAGCAAACTACGCTTGCATCCCCCAGCACCTCTAACATCCTGCCGCAAAATCACAAGATGTGGCATTAGTCAGCAGATCAAAATACTGCAACTAACACTAAATTAAACTTAAAATATATAGTAAACTATGTTTTTCTAAACAAGCTGGACATCCAAAAAATGAAAGTTTGCCATAACTATGTTTCTGACAATTACACATAACATCAGTCAGAAGACTCTTGAAAACCTGTCAAGTTCTGCCTCAAAATCAGAAGAGAAGTCACAAGTCAAAATAATCACAACAATCTACTGGGAAAGGAAAACTGTCTACGGGAATCTAAGCAGTATTACACATTTTTTCTATCTCAATGCAAAGCTATCACAAAGAATCACCCAACTGATGTTTAGGTACTAATCTGAATTAACTCTGTTTCTGTTTCAGCAAATGTAAGCATTCCTTTTCTCAGCTGTGAGGAAAGCATTCTATGTGATACATCTAGAAACAATAAGGAATTAACTCTGTGAAGGGACAGAGGAGGAATTGAGAGAGGCCATTTAAAGACTTATCGCCTACTTCTAGCAGGAGGCAAAAACCAAGATGGGTACTTTCAAAAGGAAGACAAACTGGATATTTTATTGTGAGGTTTTGGGTTGGGTTTTTTGGTTTTTTTTTTGTTGTTTGTTTGTTTTTTCTTTTTAGCATCTGTGTTGTCTGTAAACAATAGGCAAAAGTGGGTAAAAAGAATGATACACAGCATATGGGTTTTTTCTTCTTAAGTGTAAGCACATCTTACACCAGAAAATTTACCTCCTAGGTTCTCATTTTCTGTTGGAATATTACTCTGGAGAGTTAAATGAAAATAGGCTAATACTTGGACAACAGCTTGCCTCGCCTTCCACTAATCCTCTCTCTACCAAGTAAGACTACACAGAGTCAACCCTGTTTTATTTTAGAAAGCTCTTTAACTCACTAAGTCACACAGGAAGTTCCAAAAGAGGTGGAAACTCAAAGAATCAATAAATACTTGACAAATAAGTATCAGCTTTTGGGCATCTGCAACAAAGAAAGTTTGGTTACTTCAAATACACAACATATTAAAGTCAGGGATATTAAAAATATATTGAAAGGAATGACATTGTAAATACCCCAAGGGCACAAATGGTAGATATTTGAAATATTTTTTATGATTAATAACCACTTCATAATAGTCTCGTTTTATATTTCTATTATAAATTTATGCAATTATAAAACAAACATAGCAACTCCAATGATTCCAAAGGAACTATTTATAAAGAATAGTTTAAATTCACTTAGGTAATCTAGTAATTATAGGCTGCTATTAAGTTACTGAACTATAATCATACTTCATGAATATTCATGGCACAGTACTTACTAACCAGAAACCTACATGTATCAAAGACAAGAATGCCTTCAGCACAACAGATCCTGTCGTCCTGTAACAAAGCAGGACAGAACAGACCCACTGACCTAAATACTCTTTTGCACACAGATGGTCAGTCTGCTTTCTAAATCACTTCCTCTTAAAGAAACAAAATAGAATGCATCTTTTACAGCTTTTCCAATTTATTCCTCACATTATCAAAATAACTATTATTTTTTCCTCACATTCAAGCAACAAATTCTGAGTACTGCACCTCTCTCCTCTGTATTTCCAACATAATCTTTTATTTTTTTCTTAACTAAGAAAACCAAAAATGTTTAGACTATCAGCAACAATGACCTATTAAGAACTTCTACACTACAATTTTTAGGTGATAAACTGAATCCTAAATACTATCACTGTGACAAACTAAATGCCATGTTAAATGACACCTATCTGTAACTTCAGTAAGAAAGCTGGTTGATCTCAGATAAAAATATAAGGTTGAGAATCTGTATTGATCCCTGACACATACAGTATGCAACATATATTCTTTATGCATATTTTTTAAGACTCTCACCAAAAATCCACAAACCAAAACAACAACAACAAAAAACCAAAACAAAACCAATGCAAAAGAATACAAACAGGGGGATGCATTTAAAGTTTCAGAACTACCAAATTCAGTAGAAAAATAATTATATAGTCTAACAGACAAAAGCAAATCTTTTTCATACCTACTACTTGCGGAACAAGAAGCAGACAGAAACAGTTCATAAAGCTAAGTCAGCTTTGAGAAGTCAGTAGAAGCTTTAAAATAATCTCTTAAGGCTTTATAATAGCTACCATTATGATAGCAGGTGATTCCAAGGTGCTTACTCCCTCCTTGAAGAGTGTCTTAACCTCATGTAGTCTGTGATGAAAGATTTCTTTACTCTCCAGCTATACCACTTTGGGAGAGATGGATATAGGATTTAAACATCTTTGGGTTCACACAAAGAATGAGCTAGAATGCACCCCAATAATAAGGGTGTGTTGCTATGATAGGAAAAAGTTGGTTCTTAACTTTCATTTGTGCATCTGCCTGCATTTCTTATGTTTTCGATTTCTATGAACATTTTCATGCCATTAACATCAAACCCAAACACTCCTAAAGAGTATAAAAAGCAAAACTGAGTTTCCTAATTTCATAGCTCTCTTCCTTTATGAAAAATAGCATCCAGAAAGACCATTCTTTATTACAAGTTTATTTTCCTGGAAAACTGAAATAATTAGTAATTTTTTAAACTAATAAAACCAGTTTTAATCGACTAGAGATATGTTGTTTTATCACTCCAAAGGCCACTACTTACACTAGTTTGATTGCAAGTCAAATAAAATTCAAACTGAGAAATGACACTTTTAAAAAAAAATATTACTGTTCATTGCAAAGTGTTGCTAATGCCCTGGCATACTGATAACTGAGTTTTAATGGTAAGTGAATAGTTCCTCAAATAGATATGTCCATCCATGATATGTTTGGCCCTAAGTATTAAGCATACATGCTTATCTACATTAAAATTTAAAAATATTTTAAAACATATAGTACACATCAGGACAGATGAAAGTAATACTGAGAAAGACCTCAATGTAATAATTTTCTCTGCAAAAAAAGGTCATCCAAAGATTACAAACACATCATATGAAAAATAGTTCATTCCTCGTAAGTTTATTCAAAATAAAAACCTATTATTTTAACACTAACTTTAGTATTCTTCATAATCAGGCCGACACAGTGGTTACGAAATGGTTACCAGTACATACAGTTCTTACCACATCAAGACCATACCCCACCGAACTACAACCTCTCTCATGTTTTTCCACAAGGAAAAAAAAATAAAAAATTACAGTCCCCAAGGGGGGTGGCAAGGAAGTGAAATACTGCAAATGAGCTACATGAAACTACTGTTTTGGGGTGGTATATGAACAAAGGACACATGAAATCAACTGTATTTCTGTTTAGCAAAGGTTCTGTGTAAATCACATGCAATGCGTTAAGAAACAAGGCTTCCCAGACTTTCGACATGTTTCCAATTACTGACAACAATATTTTCTAAACGCACGCCACATTCCTGAGATGTTCTCTCCACTAACAATTTTAAAGTTTTCAGTTCCTAGACAAACACAATCTATCAGAAAAGGCTAAGGGCCAAACCATAAAATGTGAGGTTCATCTGGATAAATAAAGATGTCCACATCTAAACAAGCCATTCTAGTCCCTCTTGGAGGGAAAAAGACATTTCTAGGGTGATTCATCTCAACCTAAAATAGATTCCTACAGTTGACTAGATGAAATACAACTTTTCTAGGGTGATTCATCTCAATCTAAAATAGATTCCTGCAGTTGGTTAGATGAAATACAGTCCAAGAGTGCCTACCTCTATCCAGTAATTATACAAAGACCAAAGTAACCAGCTCAGACTTGAGTATCTACTCTGTAGACATCTAAAGATAAGCGAGATGAATCCCACCCAAGGTGGCTATAAAAACTATCACGCAGTTCTTAAAATACAACAGCCACAGACAGCACCTGTTCATGTCACATGCAACAAATTTAAGTGCAAGACAGTCTTTCAAAATTATTACCTTAATTATGCACTACCGCCTCATGACCCACTCACCCCCCTATGAAAGGTTACATCTTCTGGCTACGTTTACTCCTCATAGGCCTTCCTAAAGCACTACTTTAGTACTAAAACATTACTTTGACTTTTTAGAATCACCAAAAGGAAATCATAAGATACACAGGGGCAGTCCAAAAATCAGCAGAAAAATACAGGTCGTGTAGTTAATAAATTAATACAAAAACTGTCAGTCAGCCCTCATCTAACCAGTTTAGAAAAGAACATCTAAATCCACCTCTCAGGATATTACAGTAAAATATGCTTGAAACAATCTGTCAATGACTAAGTACATTTACAAAACTTACAAGTGGCACTCTTCATACCCTGTGAATAAACACACACGCCAGACTTCAGGAATTACTTTCACGTCGCAGCTCTGCAACTGCTTAAGTTAACAATGTGGCAGCACTAGCACAAACTTTCTAAGAATAAGAAGGTGCTTTCAATCCAGCTTCCTATTTTGAAACCCTTTCTGGCAGAAGGAAAGGAGAAGCTGCTGCTTTGAACTGAAGTTTCTAAGACCACAGATGCATTCTTCCTAAAGTTTGAAAAAAAATTTTGTTAGAATTTTTGAATAATCAGACTATTAAAATGAGTATTTTCCAAATATATGTTCCTGGCAAGCACAAAAACCTTTAGCTAGAAATTCAAGCTTTGACAAGTTTAAAGAAGTCAAAAGTTAAAGTGGCACATAAGAGTTCTTTAGTCTAACTAG